CGTGTATTTTGTTCACTGATGAGCAGTGTTATCAGTGATACTAGGTGTATAATATATAAAATTGGGCCGCATCATGTCGTCTCTATCAAATTTCATCCGTCTCATCCAAGAATAGGCCATCCAGAAGACGGGTAGACTGGTCTCTGGCTAACACACTGCCTGCAACTCTTTTCCATCATCTGACTTCATTGAAAGTCGAATGTTCAAGGGCTTCTAGGATGACTGGCCGTGTTGGGGAAAAGTAAATCGTACAGCTGCCTACTTTGAGGTTGCCTAGCTGCCTTACCTTGTTCAGGAGAGGATATTAAAAACCTCACGAAGACTGGCTGTTGTACGGTGGAGAGTGATGGGGAAAGTGAAGATTACGCACGCACGCACGCATGCACACACGCACGCATGTACACACGCACGCACGCGTGCACACACGCACACACGCATTCACGCACGTACTCACGCGCGCATGTACGTACATACGTACGCACTCACGCGCGCATGTACGTACATACGGGCGCATGTACGTACATGCGGACGCATGTATTGTACGCACAAGCACGCTCACGGCCACAGACACAAACACACACGCGCACGCACGTACACGCACGTACACACAGGGTGTTTGCGTGCGCTCGATCGCTGTATGTGTGTGAACATGTGTGTTACGTGTGAATAAATATCTAAGCGGCCCCGCGGCGGCATCTGATAGTCGTTTATCGGCTGCATGTGCCTGGAGCGGTTTCTCTCGCTACGATTATTCAATCGTCGCTTTCCGATTTACTCGGATTATTATGTATATTGTGTGGAATACCGACCGTGTGATTCTGAAATATACGAGCGTATATACGCGTTCACGCATGAGTGCTGCGTTCGCGCCGCATGTATAGTATGTGTGGGGCAGATACTACAGCGCGCTGCGTGTGTGTGTGTGTGATTTAAGTAAAATGAGCAGCAAAGTATAACTTATGAAATAGTGGAGCATCCCTAATGGTATTTCCGAACAAAAACTGACAAGAATATTTACAATTCTCTCCAAAATCTGAATCCAGACTGTTTCCCATATTGATGGCATATTTGATTTTGAAAATACCATTAAATTGAAACTTAAAATGAAAGTGCATGATTGGTTTCAATTCCCCTTTTAACCCTTCATGTGATGTCTGCTGTGTTACCGTAGCTCGGGATAGCGTCACATACCTAGGACCCTGTTTCATACTGAGTGCAGACTGCAAAAAGAGTGGCACTGACTAATGGAAATCCCAGTTTGTCATTGCTTCCCGCAAAAACGTCGGCTTTATTGTAAAATCGTTGGGAGCGGAGACTCGTGTCAAGTATAAACGGTTACTTGTAAGGCGGCGGGCATGAACGATCGCTCGTCGAGCGTAACACGCCTCTCCCGGTCGAAATTACGCAGGTAAAGAAGTCACATGTACGCGTGCGTGCGTGTCATAAATTATGCATAGAAACTGTCAAAATTTGTTTGCCTATCTACTGAGCAACCATGCCGCCAATTCCATGATGCGTTACTGCAAACAGGAACCCGTTTAGGAATGGCCTGGTAGTCAATCATAATACTTTGATTTGAAAACATCCTAATATCAAGAGTGGTTGTACTTTTCACAGTCACGTAAGGATTGTAGCCAGCCTGTTCCTAATCTATTTATATGTGTCATCGAAATGGAAACTGTTAAAAGTGTATCGAATTCGAGTATTTAATCTGAATTTAAGTAAAATACCACGGATCGTTTAGTAAGGGGTAATTAGGATTATGAGGCTCATACTAACGCTTCTCGTTGCCTTTGCTGCTAATTAGAATGCAGAAGCATGTACATGGTTGTTACGTTAACACACAGCACGGTGTCCTTCTAACACAACTACAGATGCGTTCGTAATTCTTATGCAATATGTATTGGTGTTCGTCGACGTACAACTTTCTGCGTGTTCGTTCGTTTTAAATATAGGCCCACAGACGCAGAAATACTGCCGGATCTCGTGACGTACAATTATCGAAGGCATTGTCATGGTTACTGCGACACGGAGCAGAACAGGAGGCTATGTGCTTCGACGACGGTATCAGTCCTTCAGCTTGCGGTGTGCATTTCTCGCTTGTGTTTCGCGGTGCTCACACAATCACCGCAGTTTGCTTCTGTAGCACCGAGCAGCATCGTGGTTAGGGATGAACGCTTTAAGTACGGAAACTACACTTAAAAGAGTCTTAGAGCACATGACAATAATTTATATTGATCACATGAGCTCAACAAATAACAAAACTATACATGTCATATGTAGGTTGAACAAGCAATTGAAGCATATATTTATTGGTATCTCATCGGCTTTTTAAAAACTCGGGGGGTGAGGCGTGAATGACTTTAGCGTTGTTACGTGGAGGTGTGTGGGCACAGTGCTGGTTCGCCGTGATGTTACAT